TGTAGCTGATGAACTGCGGGGACACCTGCCTAAGTGGGGACGCGCGCGCGATTCTGACACCGAGGAGTGCAGCGACGGACTGGACTCAGACGAAACGGGCAATATGTCGAATTCTTCTTTACGGCAGAAATGTCAAAGGTTGTCTTGTCCGAACAACAGCACATGCTACTAGACGCCGACCGTGCGACCACTATGCGAGTGTACGTTGCTGCGGCTGCAAAGCGAGCTGCGGTCGTCAAGGAAGACGACCTTTTCGCGAAGGCTGGCATCCCGACAAACCCCGAGAATGTATCGACGGCCCTCTGCACCGAGCTCGAGACATGGTTTGGCAACGAGTGTTTCAATCTGCATGGCATATCCAAAGGGTCATGACTTCGAGGTATGTGCACACGTGGAAACTTGTGCAGAACGAGGAGGACGAGATGGAACGCACCATCAGATTACCCCTGGTGCTTCGAGGCCCCATGGATCTTGAAGCCTTCGGCGTGGGAACCTTTTCGGGATCGGCGTGGCGGCCAAGCCAGAGATTGCTCGCGAGCGCGGCAGCGTGCAAGAAGCAGTGGGCCATTGCTTCCCTCGGCATCGACATTGCCTTCCAGAAGGGGTTGACCCTCCAGGAACTTGCTGAAGCAACTGGTGAACATGAATGTGTGGCGTGCTTTACTTTGCGGCCTGGATCGGCCACGGCGCTTCGGGCTCTCCCAGGATTCGAACACTACGACGAGTCAAAGCACTGCTTGCAGTGCCTTCAACTAGGCACTGGCACCAAAGACGCACCCCGAGCTTCTTTGGTCTCCGACCCACGTCCTACGACGAGGAGTTCGAGACGAGCAGCAACCTGCTTACGGCCAAACATGTTGATGACCTCAATATGGCCGGCACTGAGGACACCATTGACAAGCGTGTCAAGTGCGTAGAGGACACCTTTGGTAAGTGTAAACTCAACAGGCACACATGCACCACTTGTGCTCTGAGATATACCAAGGACGAGGACGGCAACGTCACATTGGACCAAGACAAATACATCAAGCAGCACCGTCCTATGCAACATCCTGAACGCACTGGCGCGGACGCTGACGCTCAGGCATCCAAGATGGTTGCAGGCATGTTCGTCAGCCTCAGAGGTGCGCTAGCGTATGCATTAATCACCCAGGTGTGGTTGATGGCGCATGTTACAAGTACGACGACAGCACGCGATCACCAGGAAACTGCAGGCCTGCCCCAAAAAGATCGTCTATCAGGCGATGGCCCCAACGGGCGAGGTCGACCTGCACAGCGACTCAGGTTACCGACGCCTGAGCGGAGACGCCGACGACGACGCCCAAGGCTATGGCATTCGCGGGGCAAACCTGCTACGGCGTGGAAACACGCCATCTGGTAAGCCCGTCGCCCACTTGATCGATGCGCGCTGCAAGTCGCACCGCTTGCAGGTCAGCTCGAGTTATTCAGCAGAGACACCAGCAGCTGCCCATAATAGGGAGGACAGTTATCCGACGATTCTGACTCTGCACGAGCTCCACGCAGGGCTGCTCACTCCCACTCAGTTGAAAGACATACTTAAGTTTGGGTGGCCTGAGCATCAAGGTCACTTTGACCATCGATGCCGAGTCTGTTTTTAAGTCCTTGTCAAGCAAAGACTTGAAGCAGCCGACTGACTTTACCCTTCTAGGACACATCAGTTGGAATCGGCAGATGGTGGAGCGCGGGATCGCCCACAGTATTCAGTGGCGCGACACCCGCGATATGACCGCGGATGGTCGCACCAAGGGGAGCATCGACAGAGAGATGCTCCCACAAGGTATGCGGGGTATACAATCCATGAACCATGACTTGAAGAGTCACACACCTTACCAGGCTGGCCGGATATCCTGTTCTGCGGCCGCTTGAGGAATACCCTCTATGTACAGAACGGTGCAGGCGAGGCAATTGGCGTGCGGGCCCACCTTCTTTACGGCCCCGCCTTTTTGCTGCCCTTTGTACATATTGGCTGCTGTGCCTGTTGCATAGGGGCGGCGGACGCGCGCTTCGCCCCCCCCCCCCCCCCCCCCCCCGACTTCTCTAAAGCGAGCCGGGGGGCGCAGGGGGCGGAAGCGAGCGCGCGCCCGCGGCCGCGTCGGCTCAAGCGGCCGGCCGCCCAGATGCGATTGCGCCTCGTTGCGAGGCATGCGGTTCGCCATCGAGACCAAAAGGATTTTCCTACTGCTTAAAATGGTACGCCTTTTACTACTGGGACTATCATTACTACGGTGCAACAGCGCTGGGGCTGGGTTTCGCCTAAGGCGAAGCTGTTGGCTGGGCTTCCCGGCCCCTTTCAAACTAGCCCGGCTTTGCGAGGGAGAAACCAGCCGGCCACGTCGTCCAACGCGTTGAGGTCCACTTCGCTCTCGCGTAGGTGCTGTGGACTGGTCTCGAAGCGGATGAGCCAGTCTGTCATGCGTTCATTTCGGTGTCGGTGATTTTGTGTCTGCTCGAGAAGCTTCTGCTCGAAGGCCTCGCCCTTGTGCGCGGGCTTCTGCTGACCTGGGCTCGCCTCCAGATGTTGCAAAACAGTATCGATGCCGACCTGGTTCCTACGACGCTTCTTCTCGTCGGCGTCCTCGACGTTAGGATCAGCAACAGGATGTAGCTGCGCCTCCGCCATGGTTAATGTTGCACTCCTGGCCGTCCCTTAGAGCCTGAGCACGAGCTTCGATGCTAAACTCAGCGTCGCTGAAAGGTTATCGCTGAGCTTCCATATATCCACCTCTTGCCTGTAGTTTGTACTCTGCCCACGTCGAGGGATCCTATTCCACGTAGTGTCACTGCATGTCCGAAATTATTGAAATTCTAGACGCTTCGCGTAGCCCCGCCACCCTCGGCCCTAGCCTGTGCTCTCTGGACTGTTCGGTTTGAGCTGGCGCCACTGTGCGACTTCTCTCCGTCTGCTCCAGTCTGGTGTTTAAGTCCCCTTTCTCGGGTCGCTAGCATCTTAATGCGGGGTATTGTCTCTTGCAGGTGCACTTGTTGCGTCGGCCTAGGCGCCTTCGTAACCAATTATCTCGCCCTGTGCTCCAGACGCGCCCGCCCCGCTTCCTGGGCTCTTCCTTGGAGCCGCCAATCAAAAAAAACAACCCCACCAGCCCATCCAGAAACGATGCCCAGATGAAGTGCCTCGATCAGGGAAATGGGCAGCGCGCAGTGGAAGGGCCCCCCGGTGGAGGCCTCTTGGAGCGTCTTGGGGGCCTCTTGGCGGTCCGGGGCGCCTCTGAGAGCGTCTTGGGTGCCTCGGAGAGCTTCTTCTTGGGGCCTTTTGGGGGTCGCTTGGGGGCCTCTTGGAGGCCTCCGGGGCGCCTGTTGGGGCCCCCTGGGGCCCTTTTGAAGCGCCCCTGGGAGCCTTTGGAGCGCTCTTGGAGCCCTCGTGGGCCATCTTGGAATCATCGTGAAGCCTCGGATGGCCACCGGAAACGAAAAGGCGAAAAAGCCCAAAACATTGATGTTCCTCAGGTTTTGGAAGGATGTTGGCCTTTTCGGGGCCTCCTGGGGGCGCTCTTTGGCCACTTGGAGCCGCCTTGGAGCGGTCTTGGGGCCTCTTGGAGCATCGTGGGAGCCATCTTGAGGCATCTTGGGATATCTTGAGCCATCCTGGAGGTCATCTTGGGCTCTCCCAGGCGCTCTTGGAGTCATCTCAAGCAGTGCCCCCCACCAGGGGGCCCAAATGTGGCCAACACTTCTAGTAAACTCAAGGATTTTGGCATTCTCGCCGAGGCCTCCTGGAGCGTCTTAGGTGCCTCTGGGGGGCCTGTTGGGGCCTCTTGGGGGTCTCTTGGGAGCCTCTTGGGTGCATCCTGGGGGGTCCACCTCGTTCTCGCGTAGGTGCTGTAGACTGGTCTCGAAGCGGATGAGCCAGTCTGTCATGCGTGCACCTCGATGTCGGTGATTTTGTGTCTGCTCGAGAAGCTTCTTCTCGAAGGTCTCGCCCTTGTGCACGGACTTCTGCTGACCTGAGCTCGCCTCCAAATGTTACAGAATAGTATCGATGCCGACCTGGTTCCTACCACGCTTCTTCTCGTAGGCGTCCTCGACGTTAGGATCAGCAACAGGATGTAGCTGCGCCTCCGTCATGGTTAATGTTGCACTCCTGGCCGTCCCTGAGAGCCTGAGCGCGGGCTTTGATGCTCAATTTTGCGTCGCTGAAAGGTTATCACTGGGCTTCTTTGCTTGTAGTTCTGTAATCTCTCCACGTCGAGGGATCCCTATTCCACGTAGGTGTCACTGAATGTCTGAAATTGTTGAAATTGTCCGTGATCCTGAGAACAAATGATGTTGGCGTCGCTGACGCTGGCGTCGGAGATGTCGTAGCTGTCGTCGCTGACGCTTGCCTAGGAAATGTAGTAGCTTGCGTCGCTGACGCTTGCGTAGGAGATGTAGTAGCGGCGTCGCTGACGCTGCTGATGTGGAACTTGAGGGTCTGGGCTTGCTGACGTAGTAGGCGTCGTTGAGGACGCGGTCCTGAGAGAGGGTACTGAGGAAGCAGCTGGTGTCGGATATGTAGGTCGGGTAGGAGATGTAGTATGCGGCGTCGCTGACGCTGCTGTTGGAGATGTAGTAGATGAAGGCGTAGGCGCTGGCGTCGTTGACGCTGGCGTAGGAGTTGGCAGGGCAGGCGTAGGTGCTGGTGCTGGCGTCGCAGACGGTGGCGTGGGCGCTGAGCAACAGCGCGAGGAAGCCGCTGGGCTTCGATTCCGTTGGACGTGTCGCAAACGCCGTCGTTGATATGTACGGCCCAGAGGCCGGGGCAGCGAGCACCGCTTCAAGCTACCCTTGTGATATGGATCGGCGCGCAGCGCCGGGGATAGTTTGCTGTGAGCGCGGCTCGAACTGCGGGCGTAGCTCTAAGGCCAAAGGCCCGGTTTGAGAGAGAACGGTTGCGGGCACAGCGGGCATGAATGAGAGAGCAGAAGCGAGGCGGAAGTGGGGCACAAGGGCGAGGGAAAGTGCACATTATCATATGCCGCGGGCAGGCGGCCGCGTGGTCGCAGGAGGAGGCCCAGGCGGGGCAGGCCGCTGAGGATGCCGTCGAGGACGCGGCCGCGGGGCGCCCTTCCTTGGGCCCCTCCTCCTGCAGTCCAGGCCTGCTAAAATGAGCGACCGCGCAGATATTCGCGCGTGAGCTTCCCGCGTAAGGTCGCGCGCAAGCGCGCTCTCCGCGCGGCGTGCCACGCTGGCGGCCCGCGTACGCCGCGGCGAGCGGCCGCAGTGTCTTCTCGTGTTGATATTTTTTCCCGTCGCTCAAATGAGGCCGGAGTAAGATCGTTGGATCGTGCCGTATCGCGCTGCATCGGCGACGCGGCTGGATGTGCAGCCTGATTGTCTCCACGCCAGCGTCGGCGTTGCGTCGCCGACGTCGGCGATGCATCGCCAATGCGTCTGGGCGCGATCCTCCGACCCCATCTGCTGGGACCCCAGCTTGGAGGCCTTCACATCACCGTGACGAACGTGTCTTTCAATCCGCCTTCGACAATAGCGCATCAACGCAGAGTAGTTCGGAGTAGAGATGCTCCAACTATTTCGCGCGTGGGCGCATCCCGCTCGATAATTCATAGGGCTTGGAGCGGAGTAGCTTCCGATCTGGTCTTGGGGTAACAGCGTTGTAAGTTAGAAGCATTAGGCGGATCTGAAACTACTCCGTCGAATGACGCAGTCATCTTGTCATGTTAGGAATCCCCAGAGGGCTAGTTTATATCATCAGCGTGGCAAATTGAAGATTTTGTTGTCCCGGCTGTGTATGCTCTATACAGCTCCGAATGCGTGGGATAGAAAGGGATATCAAGGTTCGAGGTTTTCGAGCGTTTTCGTTGGTTCTCGGCGGTTTTGCAGCCTCGCGGTGCTTTTCAGCAGCTGCGCCTCGCCGAAAGCGTTCCGGGGGTCGCCGCGCAGGCGAGTTGAAACCCAAAAACCACATGGACTTTGACATCCCCTCAGTGTGAGAAGGTTACTACGGACGGTTTTTCATGGCTTGGACGGTTTCCGGCCTTTGGGGGCCTTTGCTGGGCCTCGGGAGGAGGAAAAGGAGGAGGAGGAGGACCCGCGTTCAGACTGACGAGTTCGAGGGGTTCGGGCCCGTGATGGCATACAACAGGCCAGTTCGGTTTATTCTAAAGCGAGCTGAGGGACGTAAGGAGTGGAAACGAGCGTGCGCCCGCGGCCGCGTCGGCTCAAGCGGCCGGCCGCCCAAATTTGATTGTGCCTCACCGCGAGGCACACAATCGCTATCGAGACCAAAAAGGATATTCCTATTGCTTGACATGGAATCTCCTTCCATATCGGGACTATCGCTACTACGGTACAGCCTAGCGGGAGCTTAGGTTCGCCTGTGGCGATGCTGTTGGCTGGGCCTTCCAGCCCCCTTGCAAAGTTGGTAGCGGAGCGGGCCCATGGTGGTCAGCTTTGCTCTACTCCTCACCATCCACGGCACTATCAGGTGGACTACGGATATGGTGGAACATCAGGGTGCAGTGGGATTGCGCGGAGGAGTGTATATAACTACGCAGTACTGCAAGGAAACTTGCAGCGATACCTCTGTCCAAGCGGAGGTCTCTTACTCACATATTACAACCCTGCGCCATTACAGTCCTGAAGTCCACCCACCTACTCCAATGTGAAATTTCTGCGAAGACATAATGCATGGAAACGCGCGATACGATACACTGCCGCCTCCGACCCCGCGCAGACTTACGACAACAAAACAGAAGTCCCCGCCGACCACATCCGACTACGACCTACGAGGCCACTGGATTGGGGTTGCTATTTTTGGGTTTATATGGGTCGCTATTGGGTGTGCGGTAGGACATATGCGGGTCTAGTGTCGTCTGGCCCCCACTGGGGCCCTGCCAGTCAAGTACTATTTCGCGAGTTCGTCCGCGAAGTACATGCCTGGATCAATGTGACCACATGCAAAATGACGCCCTCCCAGCAAGCCCCCGCATTGCAGCGAGATTTGGGAGGTCTTGTGCGGACTATAGCCATGAGAGCCCCCCCAGCTGTCATGAATTTTGGCGTCAATATAGGCGGTCGCCACACCGACGGCGTCACCTACATTATGTTCCTCTGCAGTACGAAGTTCGAGAACCTAGAAGAGGAACGCCAACTCAACTCTGGCACGGCTCTCATTGACTTTCGAATCCATGCGGATGAACGTATCGACCAGACGTTAGCACGTATCGAAATAGCCCGCTACGAAGCTGAAGCCGCCCGGCTTCAACATCCCCAACTTCCAAACAGCAGCAGCATTTTTATTCAGAGCTCTTGAAGTGGGGACATCGCGTGCACGACAACTCCTGCACATGCCGAGGGACCAACCACAATTTGACGCTATACTTGAACGCGTGAGGTCATGTGCTCGCATAGCTGGGAGGACCCCTGGCAAGATTGGTTGTATCTTTAGCCACGGTCACCGAACCGAGACCTTCCACGCAGAGGCCAACGCAGGGCAACCTGCCAACAACGTCTGGAACGATGATACACAGCCAACTGAGACCACTACACTGTTGGCTCAGAATGGTGGAGCGGCTTCGGGGTCGCAAGGCCCCCGGGCCAGATCTGGGGGGCCGCCCGACGCGGCTCCCTCTATACAAGCTACGGCCCGAGTGGGCTCAGCGGGGCACCCCGCCGACTCCGACTTCGACTCCGGTACCGATGCGGATGCGTCTTCCGATGGTGAAGCTACCGCCTTGGACTACTCTGATATGCCTACATGCTTTACTGAAGAGCAGCAAGCTCAATGGTTCTTTTTGGGCGATCAAAAGCACAGGCGTCGTTGGCGGAGCTTCATGAAGAAACCAGTCCGAAGGGCAAGACGTATTGCACGACAGTCACTTAAAGGAAATGGCAATGGTCGAAGCAACATGCAAAGGTAAGCGTCGGCGATTACATGGTAGAGGCATACTAGCATTCCTAGCGTCTCTTATTGGACCTCAGCAGGCGGTTTTTTTTAGGCACTGGCAGAAACCGCAGGCATACATCAGGCAAATGTAAAGGTCGACGAGGAAATCCAAAGGATGCCAACGTTAACCATGGAGTGCGACATATGTCAGCACGCAGCATTTCCGACGCGAGTGCCCCCGAGGTGATGGAAGAGGCAGGGGCCCGTCAATGCATCTGGCTCAAACGGACTCCGACATCCAGCATGTCGATTGGGGGTCGCTATTAGCCGACCCTGCCGACGGCTCAGCCACAATTGTTCATTTCATTGCTGCCAGGTATCTAAGTGCCAGCATGGCCCTCGAGAATTACGCCGGCGAGCTGTTCGAGGAGGTGTTCACTGGCCACAGCGATATCGACGCGGCAGAATGGCTGGGTGCGCCCGTCGCGGGGCAACCTGCAGATACGGAGTTTGTCGAGAACTTTCACGCGCCCGTCGAAGATGAGCATGGCAGAGCGGGGGCGCCCGCGGACTCAGATTCTAACATTCCTGCGACAGATGAGGAAATACATGCAATGCTGTATACTCGGGCGATTGGAGATCCGTCAAACGCGGAGTAAATCGATGGTGATCCACTGCGGGGAAGCCCGCGCGACGCTGGTGATCTACATGAGCGTATTCAATACGAGTTTGGGCATGATGAAGCATTTCAGTATACTTGCGTTGCGTCAGATCGGTCCGCCAGCCGCCCGAGGCGATCGCCAAGCCGCCCACCCTTGAGAAGGAAGAGATATCATGACGATCCAAGTCTCTCCCCAATGGGCGACGGGGGGCGATGGGGAAGACGGTGCCCGCATGATGCGTCGCGGTCGGGCTCCCAGTCACTCGCCAGATCGCACGCGAGCCCGCTCTAGCGGTGCTCGTTCGAGCGGTGGTCAGCGCCCTTGCCCTCCAGATGCGGGGGCCGCAAGGGGCCCGCCGTGGCAGGCGACAAGAGCACGTACTCCTCCAAGGAAGGGCCGCCTGCGGGGAAACGCGCCTCAAGGTGGCCAGCGTCGAGGGGGGGGGGGGGGGGGGTATCCAGAAGGTGACATGCAGCGTTTGAAAGGCTACGCTGAAGCTGGATTGGCTCGTCAGCACATGCTCGCAAATCACGTGGAATACTGGCTGGGAACGGGTTGGGGCGAGCATCAAATCCGGCACTGGTAGGCTCTTCGCCAGGTCAAACGAGATGACGCAGGCAATATCATTCGCTCAAAGGCGGGACAAACCAAATCGCAGGAAAAGATGGTCAAGCGCGATCTTAAAAGGGCCATCATCGAGGACCGAAAGCTCCACAGAAGCGTTTGCTGCGCATGCCCCAGTTATGCCGATCGCAGGCTTGGCTGCCCCATGAGGCGCCCGTCGAGAAGCCCGAATTTCAGAAGAACGCTGTGGGTTTGGCATCGTGGATATGGTCGGGGTCACTGCGCCGACCCCAACGCTGCGCCATATCTTGAGCAGCCGACGGAAAACGATTACGACCCCGCCACCCGTGAAGAATTAGTTCGTTCAGAATTCGTTTGGCAGAATTTGATGCCCACTCACTATCTGGCGCAGTTCAATCGCGAGTGGCGCGCGGGGAAACCTGCTGATCATAAACCAGAAGAAGAAAGCTCACAAGAAGCTGGCGAAGATGAAGATGATGAGATGGTTAAAGAAGCGGATCCTACGGGCGCTGCCCCTGACGGCGGCGAGCCAAGCGAGTCGGGCATTACGGACGTCACGTGCGAGACAGATGCCCCGATCGACCCCGAGGACGTTGCCGCGCATAGTCGAAAGACGATGCGCCGATAAGTACTTAGTTGCACAGAAGCGCAAGGTACCCATTATGAATATGGCCCACAGGCAGCCAGATGGTATCGATCTGAATCCTGACCGAGGCCCCATGCAATATGCACTTAAGGCGCCGGCAGGAGCCAGAGACGATCGATCTTCCCTCGTCTTCTGATTCATCGAGACAATCTCTTGGCCCTGACCATCTCCAGCTCAAGAGAAAGAAGAGGAAGAGCCCAGATGATCCTAACCCTGGGGATAGCGAGCAGCAGCGAGATGCGGGGCAACCTGCTGATCGACATCGATCCAGAGGGCCAGCAGTGGCCGCCGCAGCAGCTAGACTCCAGG